GCAAAAAAAACCAAGAAAAGCTCTAATAGAAAGATCCTGATGGATTGTAGAAAATAAAATATCCCACAGTCTGGAAGCTGCTATTGAAAACAGCCTTTATTCATATAGGGAGGGCTGGATCAGAATTCTTTATACCACTTTTTCCCAGACATCAATTTACTCTTTAGGATAAGAAATTATCAAGAATACCCTGATTTTTACTTCAGATTAATAAGGTAACATATCCCATCATTTATGCATTTTAAGGCCCATCTATTCCGTGCGGCCGGCCTGGTGTAGTTTGATTATGTTTTAGTGGGGGTTTTGTATGGGGTACTTTTAGAACAGGCCTGTTATTTAATTTGATTTTAGAACAGAAACTTGTGTATATTTATCGTGGTTTTTATTATCGCCTGTTCACCGCCCTGAGTCCCGTAAGGGAGATAGGGCGGTATATAAATTCAATTAATAATAATAATAATAATAATAATAATAATAATAATAATAATAATAATAATAATAATAATAATAATAATAATAATAATAATAATAATAAACTGTAATTTTATTGCCTAAACAGGATCCTGAACTCTTAATTTTTTTTCTTCGGTTCTGTTGTGGAGACTGCCTAGAAAAGTCACTGAAGTTTTCCTGGCAAGGTTTTTCAGAAGAGGTTTGCCATTGCCTCCTTTCTAGGGCTGAGAGAAAATGACTGGCCAAAGTTACCCATCTGGTTTTGTGTCTAAGGCAGGACTAGAACTCACAATCTCCCAGATTCTAGGCTGATACCTTAACCAATACACCAAACTGGCTCCCAAATTCCTAATAAGCATTAGAAAAGCATTCCAAAATTTCTCAAGTACACTGGAAGGTACAGCCTACTTCATAACAGCTGCTCAACAAATGCCCACATTTCAAAATCTATAAGCATCAATTACTAGCATTCGTTTTTATTAAAGATTCATTTTTCACAAAGTGATGATGAATGAATTAATTTAATGAAATGAACATAACAAACAAGACTACTTTTTACGTCTACAAAAAATAGCAGCAAATGAAAATAGCATGGATTTAATTATTGGTTCCCCTAGAGCAGGAGTGTCAAACTGCCGGCCCACGGACTGGACGCGTCACGAGGAAACCGCACCCACCCCATTGCTGGCAATGGAGAAAAAGCTCTGATATGTCGCACAATGTCACATGACATCGCGAGTTTGACATGTCTGCCCTAAAAGTAAAGATGTAACTGGTCTTTAGTGATCTCTCAAGCAGAATGTTTAATTGGTATCATAGGTATCTCATAATTGGTATCTCATAATCAGTCACTCAACCTATCTGGATGGAGAAAAGTACTCTCTAGAGCATTTTGTGCAGCACAATGAACATGGATCACAGAAAGAAAAGCAGAGAATTGTCAATGGAGGAAAAGAGGATGGTGATAGCCAAGCATGGTAAAACATCTCTAAGGAGCTTAATGTTCCTGTGACCATAATTTGAGGTCCATGGGACTGTAGCCCATCTCCCAGGACAAAGCTGCTAGAGAAAAATTGACCCCAGATTAAACAGAAGGATAGTTTGAAAGGTAGAGAATGAACCAAGGAAATTTCAAAAAAGATCCTGGCTGACCTCCAAAATCAAGATACAACAATGTTAAGTCACAGCATCCTTCACTGTCTGACTAAAAGTGACTTTCCTGATAAAAGACCCAGGAAGACCCCACTTTTGAAAGATAGACACAAAAAAGATTGGAGTTTTCTAAAAGGCATGTTGACAAGTACAGTTCTGGGAGAATATCTGTTGGACATAGGAAACAAAATTAGAGTGCTTTCGTAAGCCCTATGTTCACAGAAGGAAAAATTAAGCTTTTAAAGAAAAGGACACCATCCCTACTATGAAACATGGAGGAGGTTCCATAATGCTATGGTTGCTTGGTTGCCTTTTATATTGCAGGCCTTAAATTTGTGCAAGACACAACAAAATCAGAAAAATTTTAAGGCATTCTAGAGCAAAACATAATGCCCAGTGCCTCAGTTGCATCTCACAGGTCCTCCAGCAGTATATTTGACCTAAAAATGCATTTTGGAAAATCCAAGAATGGTTGAAAAGTAAACAATGGACTCTTCTGAAGTAGCCTGGTATGAATCCTAATCTGAGTCCTATAGAACATCTATGGAAGGAGCTAAAACTCACAGTTAGAAGAAGGAACACATCAAATCTAAGGCAACTGGAGCCATTTGTTCAAGAAAGATGTGACAAATTACCATTTCACAAGAGTAGAAGTCTTATTCAGAGCTGCAAAAAGTGTTTGATTGTAGTTACTGCTTCAAAAAAATATGCTATGAAATAGTAGGTTAGGGGTGCCATAATTATTTCCATGCAATTTTCATTTTTTTTATTATTTACAAGAATATGTTAAGTTATACATCAAAACAAAGTGTCTGCTTCTTTTAATTATGGAGTTAAAATATGTTGGATGCCATTTACTTGTGTCACTTTCAACTGTTGTTATTTCGCAACAAATCGAGATTCCTTTGGGGGAAAAATTGAGAGTATCAGTACTTTGGTCACATTTGTACTCCCAAGTCATGTCAGCTACATAACTAAAACAAGTAGGCATGTATACTAGGCAGCAGTGATACAGGAAGATACTGGGGGGAGATGATCACAACGGAAAAGGCATCGTTTCATACCATTCTGGAGAAAGCAATGTAAACTATTTCTGTATTTTACAAGAAAGCCACAAGGACATGAAATATAGAATGATTAATGATATAGTACTGGATGAAGGGCCTCCCAGATTGAATGGCATTCAACATGCTACTAAGGAAGAGCTAATCATCTTTCAGAGTACTAATATATTTATGTCACGGCTAAATTAAAGCCTTTGGGATGTCTAGTTGTCATGTAGGAAAAGAAAATCTGAAGCTAAACTTAAGAGTGAATGCAGGAAAGCTCAACAATGTAAAAGATGAAATAGGCTGACTACACACTGACACACTACCAATGTGAAATGGACAAGACCTGGACCTTTTTAACCACATTATCTTACTGTTTACTACTCAAGGCATGAAAATATACCATGAAATAATGGTATTGTTTTCATAGTTTTCAGGAAGGATAAAACAAGGGCAGTATTTGGGAACAAATATTATCAATTAAACTTTGTGGACAACACCTTAATATGATTATCCAAGCTTATGCAGCAAGCACTGATGCAGAAAAAGAGGAGACTGATAATTTTTACGGTCAGATTCAATCTGAAATTACCAGAACATGCAAGAAGATGTGCTACTTATGGCTGGAGACTAGAATACCAAAGTTATTAAGGAGAAAAATGTAATTGGATTGCATGACCTAGGAATTCAAAACAAAGGAAGAAAATGACTTCTACCCATTCAATGATTTCTTCAACACTAACACAAACTTCCAACATCCAACTGATACCTATATACATTGCACTGTGCTACAATATCTTTAATTTCACATGCTTGCAAAGTAATTATGTTTAATGCTGATGGATGCTAGAAAATTGAAATAGTTAAAAAATATCAGAAAAAAGTCAATATGGGCTTCATTTATTATGGAAAAATCTGTGGTTGTGCCAAACATATCAAGCTGTGGAATATCCTCAGGAAAATGGCAATTCTAGAACATTTCACTGACCCCATGAGAAAGTATACACAGGCCAGAAGCCACAGTCTGGATGGAACAGGACAAAGAAGATTCCAGATTAGCAAAGGAATGCAACAAAGCCACATACTCTTCCCTTATTTATTCAACCCATATGCTGAATGTATCAAGTGAAGCTGGATTGGAAGAAGATGAGTGTGATTTTAGATTTGGAAGAAGAATCATCAATAACCTGCATTATGCAGATGAGGCTACTTTAACAGTTGAAAGTGCAAATTATCTGGAAGCTCTAAGTAATATAAATCAAGGAGCACATTGGAAAAATGAGACTAAGAGTAAATATAAAGAAGACCAAATTAATGACAGCAGATACAATAAACAGCCTTAAAATTGACAATATTGAAGTGGTGGGTAACTTCTGCCATTTGGGATTGACAATAAAATGACCAGTAATCGAGAAATTCACCAAATATTAGCATTTGGTAGGGTAGCAACGAAGGTTTTGAAAAAGATATTTAGATGCCATAACATATCTATACTTATAAAAGCCCAGCTGCCTAGATAAGACTCCACTACTGGGGAAAATAGAATAGTAGAAGAGGATGATCATCAGCAAGATGGATGGACTTGACTACATCAGCATATATTTCGGTACTCATTGTTAATTGGTTGTGGGAGGCACAATGAGTACCAAAAATGATGAATACCAAACAATTTTTTCCCATAAGGAATAATGTATGAGTCACAAAACAGCCAGCAATGACAAGTTATCGCTTATGTATCAAGTACCAAACAAACAATGAGTACCGGGACAACATTTTCATGTCAAAATGTGTTGACTATGAAATTCAATGAGTTTCAAAGCAATTGAGTACCACTGTACAGTATATGATACAAGAACTTGAGTAGTCGTGTGAGCCATTATTTGAGTGGCAAATTACATTTAACAAGCATTCTATTTGGTAGAGCGAGAGTATAAATGGATGGAAATTGGTGAGGGTGATTAAATACTTATGTTCCCTTTGTTATTTCTCTGCTTACTTTATCTTTTTCTAACCTAAGCATGCAGCTTCCCTAGCATGGGAACCAAATAGAACTCATTCCTAGTAGCCCAATGAAGACATAGATACATTACTGCTTCCCTTAGTGAGAAGGCAATGTTAATCATCTGTGGATATCTCTAATTCGTTTGTGCTGAAACCAAGCAATGTTCAAAAAAGATAATTATTTTGGAATTCTGAATTAATAAACCCATGCAACTGTTGCTGAAACCCATTCTATTGCTTATGTTATTGGTGAGCCCACTGGGGGCAAAGATCCTACACTGAGTTAGGATTAGCCACCTAATAAATACATAACAATCAGTTCTATACACAAAGACATACACTCACCTAACGTCCAGTAAGTTACTGCTTCCAGGTGTGAAATGCTACTGTAGATAGCATGCATATACATAAAATGAATCATCAATTCTGCCAACCACCACCAAATCAAAATACGAATGGCTCCCCAGATGAAAATAGATAGATTGGACTTCCAATTGCAGGATTGTTGTTTGCTCATCTGTATTAGAATAAATTAAACATTAATACTATAGAACTGGATTTTAATTGACTATTGTATCAAGCAATTTTTTCTTTCCTTTTTAATTCCAATCAGAATCTTTATTTAGTCTTTGTGTTTGAAAATTAAAACATGTAAACAATATAAAATATATTGTGCTTGTTGATAGTCTTGGAGTTTTGTAATCTGAAGAACATATGCATTTACTTGTGATATGGGAGGTATTAAAGAAATTTTTAAAAATGACAAAACATACAAAAATACTGCTCTAGGGAAAATCAGTTTTCAGATGAATAGGACTGTTTGACAGACAAATTGAGGCATACGGAATATGTCCTTGCAACTCATAGCAGCTGTGGTTTTATCAGAACATCCCCATAGCAATCGCTGAATCTCAAGATACAAATGTTTCTTCTGACATATGTATTTGTAATACATCTCAATTTACCTCCTCCCCTTCTGTTATCTATAGAAAACAATCATTGCCTCTCTGTAGATTAACAGAAGGACAGGAAGTAACCTGAGATGTACTACAAATACATATGCATGCATGCATCACTTTCCCCTTTCTGAAATATATAATACACATGCATATATTTGTATATAGGGGTGTGTCTCCCACTTTTCTTTTGGAAGAGAGCTTCTCCAGTGCGCATTGTTAAAAAACTAGATACTGCAGGGAGCTTGATTGCTGCTTTCTGGGTCCTGTGTTTGATTCCACACTACCAAAACAACACTCTATAGAGCAGCCTTCTGTCCTCCAGATGTGATAGACTAGGGGTCCCCAACCTTGGCAACTTTAAGACTTGTGGACTTCAACTCCCACAATTCCTCAGCCAACTCCCAGAATTCTCTGTGAGCATAGTCTATGATCATGCTGTTGAAGAAAGGCTAGTCATGATTGTCATGTAAACATCATATCTATGATATCTTATTTATCTATCACATTCATACACCAACCATCTCACTCTGAGTGTCTCTGGAAAGTTTACAAATAAAAGTCATAAAACTATTTAAAAGTCAACATTAGAAACAGATTTAAAGATAAATAAAAGCAATAATAAAAATAAACGCAAATTTAGAAAGTTAAAGCAGAAGGAACACCCTTAAGCCACCTACTATCCCTGGGGGTTGTCTAGAACTAGTAGACACAGCCAGATCTTCAAGGCTTTTGCTAGCCACACATTAATGTTGTCATCATACTGCAAATAATGTAATTCACTGAGTCCTGATCTTTGATCCAGAGAGCATTAGTAATCACAAATGATGCAAATGGTCATTAGCTGGAGCACTAATCCATCTACATACCATGTGTGTGCCAGTATAATGGAAATATTATAAGAACACTAAATCTTACTGGACGTTAGCATTCTCACCAAACATTTCATGTAGAACACTGACATAAGAATTGGTAATCTCCTAAGATTACCAACTTTTAAAAGTATTCCACAAGCACCACTTGGAGGCAGGTAACATGTGTACCATCTCCCCAAAGCCATATCCAGTGATAATGTTTCTGCATTAAATAAATTGGGGGCAATTCCAACAATGGGTCGAACCATTATTGGAAGCAGTTTATTACATAATTACTTTCCTTAAAGAAAATATATTTCTAATGCCCTCTTGTGAAAAACATATGTAAGCAGAATTAGTTTCAGTTGAGTATCTATAAATAGGAGTGCAGCCTTATGCAAGGATTTCTTTTCTGATCTTAAACACCAGATTTTAAAAAAGACTTGCCAGTTCAAGTTAATAATGTTAATCACCTACCATTATAAGTTTTTTTTTTTAAAAAAATAACATTTCTGTGGGTACTTTAAATTCTCAGTCGCATGGCATCATGGGTTGCAGCATGATTTTATTATTACATAAAAAGAATGAATTTATCTACCATTTTTAGCATAAGAATTCCCTTGCCTCAGGCATTTTGATAATGATATACAGCATTCAGCTGTTGGATTATATGGATAAGCTCCTAACCCCTCAAAAAAAAAACTTTTGACATTTTTTTTTTAAAAAAAAACATCTCACTTTATACCACCAGTGAATTATGGTCATTGTCTTTCACATGTATGACTTTCTCTAAATTCAGCCTATGAAAAGCAAGCTGAATTTCCCAGAGCAAGTTTGATCATTCTGTAACATTTCATTCAACCTGTAATACCTGGTAGAACTCATTCCAAAGGGAAGTATATTATATTTGAATATATCAACATTCAAGCTTTTATCACCTGTTGAGATAATTGTGTCTGAAACAAGCTTTTTGTTCTCAGATGTATCAGGGAAGAAATATAATGATTCTGATCATTTAGGCCAGGGGTCCCCAACCTGTGGGCCCAGGATGGGCTGGCCAGTGCATGCACATGTGGGCACACACTCGCTCACTTGCGCTAGCGCTGTGGCCACGGGGTGCCGCGCCGTGCAAAAATGGGCCGCCGCCGTACCTTGGGACATGAAAATGGGATACCATGCCGCAGGGCACAAAAACAGGGCTGCAGCCACGCTGCAAGGCGCAAAAATGGATGCAGCCGCGCGACAAAGATGGGTGCCACCATGCTGCAAGGTGCAAAAATGGTCACCACCGCGGTGCAGGGCGCAGAAATGAGGCACTGCACCATGCAAGAACAGGGCAGGGTTAGTGAGTATCACGTGGGTGCTAACCCCACCCCATCTGTGGCGCACACAAGCTCATGGCCCCATGCGCATGCACGCACACACTTGTGTAAAATGCTTCCCGCTCCCTTTTCCTCCGGTCCACCAACCAAGAAAGGTTGGTGACCTCTGATTTAGGCAGAACTGGGATGAAGGTGGAGGGTATATGACTTAGATATATCAATTTTATATTTCTTACAACATCTATGAAATCGTTTAATAGGATTATATATCTGATATCTTGCTCAACAGGATTACTGATCTCCTCCTTCCACAAGATTATTGTACGTTTTTGTTCTATTATAAATATAAATATAAAATAGAATTCTGGAGACCTTTTAAGAAGCTATTTCCTCAGTTGTTGCAGAAAAAGGAATGAGGAAACTCCTCATTCAGCCAACTTCCAATTTCTTTACTTGATTTTTTCCCCCTCTATTTTTCCTCTGTTCATTGCTAGGATGTAATCACTACACACATGATTGGCTCATTCTCCATAAAGAATAGAAAATTACTTAATGACTCTTATTACGGTACTTCTTTCAGCAAGCTTGCCGGATGCTTTCACCATACTGATTCATCTTTAATGACATCTTACTATCTTCAACTACTTTAAAGAAACTATTTTCAAAGTCCTGAGAAAGAGAAAACAAATTCCTACAGTGTTGTCAATTCAGTTATGATGCATGCCAATCAGACTTCTTAAGGCATGTAGACACACCTGTTTCCTGTTACATAGCCAACATTAAAATACTGAACTTTAGATACCAGCTGAGACGTTTAATTTCATTGCAAAGTAGGAAGCAACATAGTTCCAAAACTCTGTCAACTTACTGCCACCAAGTCACCACAGGACAACTCTACATGGTCAACTCATCGCTGGGACAACTCACCATGGGCAGCTGGAGGGAGATCCAGGTGGGCAGGCAAGTAGATGAACAGCAGTGCCTGGGGGCTCCCCATTTTCACACCCCTCACTGTCGCCGCACCAGGCTCCAAGCAAAAGAGGCCGGGGATGGCAGTGGTGGCAGTAAGGATGGGAGGCAGGGAGGCGATGGCATCGGCAATGGTTCTGAGCTCGGTGCAATGGCAACATAGATGACAGCTGCAAGCCTGGTGCAGTGGTGGTAGCAGCGGCAGCCGTGAGCCCGGTGCAGTGAGGACAGCACAGCAGCACACCAGGCTCGGAGCCGCTGCTACTGCCACACAGGGCTCCAAGCCTGCTGCAGTGGTGGTTGCTGGGTGTATGAAAATAGGAAGCCCCCAGCCGTCACTGCTCCCCACCACCCACCCGACTGCTCTGTGCACTCTGCCCACCTGCTTCCTCACCTGCACAGGTCTCCCTCCAGCCAACCACAGCAACTTATCCCCGTAGCAAGTTGCTGTGTGAAGTTGTCCTGCGGTGACTTGGCAGTAGCAAGTTGGTGGTGGTAAGTGGGCTGCAGCAAGTTGTCCCATTCCGACTCCAGGGAACATACAGGGATTGATCAGAACCACTAACAGCCTGATGAACCCAGCCCCAATACCCAGACCTAAAAAAGAGTGATGGCTGGTGAGAAGTTAAGAATCTAAGAAATAAGGTTCTCCAAAGGCAGGGAGGTTGTAAGAAAACTAAGAGAGACACATTACAACACACAAAACAACTCCCTATGATCAATGAACTTCATATGTGCTAATATACTTTTTCCAAATTTTATATAAACATCTAGATCAGCGGTTCTCAACCTACGGGTCGTGACCCCATTTGGGGTCGATCGACCATTTCACGGGGGTCGCCAAGCAAGGCTGTCCGCCATTTTTTTCCCCTTTTCCGGCGGGTGCCTTACCTCCCTTGAGCTGGGCCAGCTGGTGGTCGGCCTGCTCCGTCTCTGCCGCTTGCCAGCTATGCCTCGGCCGGCGCAGGGGGCGGAACCACGCATGCGCGGCGCTCCCGGGCAGGGAAAGTCCTCGACTTACGATTGGTTGGGTAGTCCTTGACTTATGACCGGTTTAGTCCTCGACTTACGACCGGTTTAGTCCTCGACTTACGACCGGTTTAGTCCTCGACTTACGACCGGTTGGGGGTCGCGGCATTAAAAAGGTTGAGAACCACTGATCTAGATCTATTTTATCAACAAGAACAGCAAACTGTGCTCTATTTTTCCCAGCTCCCTTCAGAGAGACCATTTCTATTTAAAATAAATTATGGAAACAGGCCAATATTTAAAACCTTATCCATTTAAAATCTTATCAACATGAATTTTTCAAGTAAGAAAAATACAATTAAAATAGCTAATGAGAATAATCATCTAGTATAAATTCAAAAGGAATTTTCTAGCATGAATTCCCAAAGGGGCTTGTACCAGAGCTATTAAAAAGTCTCTCTTTGAATGCCTAAAACTCTGATTTTCTCTCCAGGCCCCCACCCCTGACATGCATTCAGCTCTATACAGACAGCTTTCATGTCCCACATGGTTGAAATTATTTTTGAGAAAACTGAGCTAAATCTAATAGCAAAAACTCAATATCCAATTCTAAGCATCACCCTAGCCTCAGTTTACATGTTCATAGAATCAGAATCAAAAGGAAATGGCCTGGAATAATAATCTAGCTATTCAACACAGGAAATCTAGAGTTAGCGTATTCCCAACAGATATTCTACTTCCATGATAGCCATCTCATACACTTTATAATTGGCTCCCACCATGAAGCTACACTTCTCAAGATTCAGCTAAATACTCAATTGAAGTTAAAATTTCTGGAACTTATACACAATAGATTTAGCCCTGCTCCTGGGACAGCACAGACCAAGTTTTTCTCATCAATGTATTTCAAAAAGACTTTTCTAGGCCGCTATACCCAATTTTTCAATACATCTTCTGAACCTGTTTGAATTGGTCTGCATAATTTTAAAAAGTAATCTTTTCAATTTAGTATTCCAAAATGGCACAGGGCTTACACAGAAAAATTCAAATTATTACTTTACTTTACTTTTCATGATATGAAAATTATAAGAGGTGTGGTGGTTCAATGGCTTAATGATGCTGGAAATCGTCTCTGCACCAGCGGTTCAAGTCCAAGCATTGCATGGCAGAGTGAGTTTCCATCACGCCTCAGCTTCGGTCCACCTAGCACAGTGGTGGTGAACCTATGGCACACGTGCCAGAGGCAGCACTCAGAGCCCTCTCTGTGGGCACGTGCACCGTCGCCCCAGCCCTGCATCCCCCCGCAGCCCCCTCACCAGCAGTCCCCCCCAGAGGAGAGGCTCCTCCGACCGCGATCCATGCGGAGCAGTGCAGCCAAGAAATGGCAGCCGGGCAGTGGGCCCAACATTCCGCCCTCGCGCCCCATTGCACGGTTGATGCTGCAGGGCGCAGGCAGAGGGCGTGGCTGCCCTGGCACTGCTGGGCCGCCTGGGCGATCTGCGGCGGGCTGTGGAGGTAGATGGTCTTGCGGGCGGGGCGGGAGGTGGGGGGCAGAAGGCAGAGCGGGGGCGGAGTGGGGGCAGGGCCGGGTTTTGGGCACTCGGTCTCTAAAAGGTTCACCATCACTGACCTAGCAGTTCAAAAGCATGTTCTATGCGAGTAGATAAATAGATACCACCTCCATGGGGAGATGAATTGGTGCTCCATATAGGCAGTCAGCTCTGAACCTTCCTGGTTGCAACACCCATTTGTGATGCAGCTCCAGGGAAGGGAGGGGAGCTTGGATGAGGCTGAAGTAAGAGCTGCTCATCTTTTTTTCTGGTGTGAAACCAGCTCGCCCTCCTGTGGTGTACCTTGGGAAGCGCGTGAGTGTCTCTCACAACAGAGCTGGTAAATTGGCAGCCAATCTACTACTCTACAATAGCATTGCGGTCTCCTGGCTAATGTAACAGTACCATATTCCAATCATCATCATCATTATCATCTAAAAATTATGGGTCTATTTCTGAAGAGTAAAATCATAGAGTTTTTTTTTCTGATGCTTGACATTTAATCAATTGCATTCCTAACATTCATTCCATTTGAACTATTGTCAACCAATATTTCTCATCCCAATTCTGTATTTTAGTATTTTTCCCTCTTGTATAAATGCAGACATTTGATCTATTTACAATTAATTCTGTTTTGTTATAATGTTAATTTAAAATCCATATAATCCAATCAACACTATGCCCATGCCATTATTTAATGTAAACTCTGGGTTCCTACTACCACAGAAATCATTTCGTGCAGATTCATTTTGGTTACTGACATGAAGTAAGATATTAAAAAGTGGCATCAGAAGCAATACAAAAACATATTGTCAAGAACATCAAAACAATCCAAATGTTGTTACCTGTGAATAAAATTCATCAAAGGTGATAACAGGTCCATTGTGAAACACAGGATAATAGAATGTATATGAAAGCATCCAAAGAAATGAATGCTGGGTAGTCCTATCCCAACAATATTCCAGACTGAAGCTTGTATAATAGAGACAGCGCACAATCAGGGTGAAAACTAGTAGATAGTACTCATTTTCACTGGCATACCAGCCTCTCTGAAAAAAATGAAACCAATTTGAATATTATGTAAAAGGTCACATAGCTATTGAAAGTAATATTCCATAGTCCGAAACCTGAGATCTGCATCTGTACAGATTTATAAACGAAAGACTCCAGAATAGCTTTATATTATCCAAACACTTCCTACGGGTTTTATTGGCGAAAGGTAGCATTAGACAAAGTTTATGGAATAAACAAATTTATTCCATAGCTATAGCACTATAGCGATAGCACTTAGACTTATATTCATTTCATAGTGCTTTACAACCCTCTCTAAGTGGTTTACAGAGTCAGCATATTGCCCCCAATAATTTGGGTCCTCATTTTACCGACCTCAGAAGAATGGAAGGCTGAGTCAACCTTGAGCCAGCCAGGATCAAACTGCTGGTAGTCAGCAGAATTAGCCTGCAATACTGCATTCTAATCACTAACCACTGCGCCACCACAGTGCCCAATTATTTCATTAAATCTATTCTAAGCCAGCCTCATTATGGAATTCACCCCAGGCATTTAGGAAAAGAATCTTCCAGGAAGCAAAAGGAAAGTGCTACATTATCCAAAACTCCCTTTCCTTAGCAACATAGGCCCACAGTGTAAAGTAATATTTATTTATTTTTATACAGTCAGTACATACATACACATTTATATATATACATTCATACATATATGTATATATCTCTGCATACATATACATGCTGCTGCAGATTCTCAAATAAGCAAAGCTGACTCTTTAAGAAACACTGTTTTACAGTAATCACTATTACAAAAGATAAGCATATACAAAAATCTAGAAGAACTGTTGCTTCCAACTGTACTGCAGTAATTTGAAATTTACATTACTGAGATTATTAGATGTATTAACTGGCATATGACTTTGCTGCTACTTCAGAATCGCTTCAAATCCATCTGGCTTACTCTATGTCAACTTTTTTCCAGGTTATTTTCATCTCCTTCACACTATGTTTTACTATCAGCCTCAGATAAGAAATCCCAGCTTTAACCACTGGCCATTTAATATTTAAATTATTCTATGCTTACATTTTAGCTATGAAGGAGTCAATCTGATTCTTGCTTTTTTTTAAAAAAAATCAAGTTTTATCAATGTTGTTTTCCTTTTGTAAAATAAATATAACAACTTTGTATCTTCACTAATACACATTCATATCTTATTTCTAAATTTCTAAAGAAGAAACATTCTAAGAATACTATAACATCCTCTAAGAATTATTCCTCTAAATTTCTCAAAATCCCAGACTTTTACAAAATAACTTATTTTAACACACACAAAAATTACAATTGTAATTACCTTCACTTCTTCTATGGCAGATAGATGCAGAGTTGACAACAGAAGCAAAGACGTCAACCATGTAAGCACTGGATTTTTCAACTGGGCTACTAAATACGAGATACTGATATGTAGAAAAATCATAGTCAGTCCTTTGGATCCCAGTAGAAACCAACAGGCAGCAATTCCGTACACTAACAGAAACCAAGGTTTGTACTGAAATGTCAGAGAGAACAGATGATAAAATGTCATGCATGAATAATGTTTAATCTATCACCAATACATTCAACTCTCTCAAAGGAGCTCAAAATCATATATGAGGGGGAGGGTCAGAGGGAGTGGTCAACATGTTCCAGTTGAGAAAATCTCTGTGAAATAATTTTAGCTGAGAAGAGATGATTTGCCCAATGTGATTTAGGATAAAACAGTAATGTGAACCAAGATCACTTAAACCTAAATTCAACATTTTATCCCTGAGGATTATTTTAATATATTTTTCTCCCTGAGAAAAAACAAATTCTGTGTATTATATGCTCCCTCCTGTAACATTTGGTTTGTATGATGCTGAGACATCAACCCCACCCTCCAAGTGCAACACAATTTATGTAATTGTCCAGAGAGAAAAAGAATCTATACCGGTTTTTAAAAGTAAATGGAATTAACTATTTAATTAAGTATTTAAATAGTGTTTTCTAACTCAGACTGAGTTAGAAACCAGCCTGACAGGGAATGGGCTTGCTATCTCAATCTTACCGTCTACTGGCCTTCACAGGGAAAGTATGAGCACCATAACAAGTTTTTCAACTGCAGATTAATGCAGTGATGGTGCCCTAGCTTTCATATGGTTTAATGACATCTGAAATGAGGACCAACTCTGGTCTTCTGCACAGAAGCCTGGGTCTTCTGCAACAAAACTGGGGAAGTGCTGTGTATCAGATACAGAGCCAAAACACTAATTTTGTTTGGACATGGACACATTTTCCATAATTGTTGGTATCTCTTTAAGAAAGCTGTATTTTTTTTTTTTAGGGTCCAATAATAGCTACACAATCCCACGAAATTTCACATTTAAATTAAGGAGGCACTGATGGAATACTGGCCCCTGCTCTGAAGAGCCAGGAGAGCCCAGGAAAAGGCAAGGCTTTTTAAAGGTGGCACCTAATAAATGCAGCATGTTTGCTGCCCAGGCCTGCTCCAAAACACCTTCTTTCTCTATAAAAATTATGATAAATTATAAAGACATATTGAAATATATGAATATTGATGATCATTTTTACTGCTATAACTGTAGAATAGTGGATGAAAGTGAACTGGGTCTGAAGTGTTTCATTACTCGGAACCATGACAAGTGTTTGTCATTATGACTTTGCCTAGCCCAAATTAAGAGATATGATCAAATAATGACTGACAGCTAACTAAAGCTGAAGCATTAATGAATGAATGGTTTTTATTAAGGTCCTTGAACCAAGCAAACAAAAAATACAAATATATCCCACAAAAGAAAAGCAAATAAGAAATACTGTATATTCAATACTTACACAGCACTCTGCTTTACAAAATACAATAACAAGTAATCAAATTAACCAGCCTAAAGAGTGTGTAGCAGCATTCATCCTGGTTGTCTATGTCAAATGCCACATTAACTTAAATAACGGGAACCTTGGTTCAACATCTGTTTAATTTAGGAGGCAGCAAAACAGAATTTTGGCACATTGAAAATATCTTAATGCTTGGATATATAAAAGAGGAAGTGGGTGTAAATTTCATCAGATCTGTTTGGTCCATTCCTTATGAAAGGGGCAATGAGAGCAGATCTGAACAGAAACCAAGCAGAACAGAATGAAGACTCTAAGAGGACATGACTCACTGAATTAGTGACCTCCCCCATTCCACAAGGATCTACATCAGGGGTGTCAAACTGCCGGACCGCAGGCCAGATGCGTCATGCCAAAACCGTGCCCACTCCATTGACGGCAATGGGAAAAAAGTCACGATACGTCACGACATGTCACGTGACGTTGCGAGTTTAACACCCCTGATCTACATGATTGCAATGTGCTCTATATGGGACTCACCTTGAGAGTACTCAGAACCTTCAAATGACCCAGAATGCAGCTACATAGTAGTAGCTATGGGATTGCTCATTTCACTCATGTACCGTATTTTCTGGCGTATAAGACGACTTTCTAAACCCTGAAAATCTTCTCAAAAGTCGGGGGTCGTCTTATACGCCCAGTCGTCTTATACGCCGGAATATACGGGTATTCTATTTTATTCCTTTACACATGTGGTTTGGCATATTACTCATCAAGTTTTCTCTCCCCCCCTTCTCTCTCGCTCAGACTCTATATTTTAACTGGAAAAGTTGGGGGTCGTCTTATATGCCCAGTCGTCTTATACACCGGAAAATACAGTAATACCAGTATTCTGCAAGGTATGCTGGCTAGTGGTGGGCTTCCAGGTGCTATTCAAATTGGTGTTCACTTATTAAACTCTTCATGGCTCAGGTTCTGGTTGCCTGTGGGATTCTTCTCCTCCTGATGTTTTTGCCTAACTGATAAGATCTAGAAGAACTGACACTCTAAGTCTTAGCTTAAAAGCACTGTAATCTTGTGAGATCTAGGGACCAGCACACCCCTGAAATCCATATAGCCCTGACTCTGTTGGCTTCCACAGAGCTTTNCAATTTACAACCTAAGTGTTGGAGATGTGGCAATTTAGATGCATCTTATTTTCATATTTGGTGGACATGTAGGGAAGTTAAAGCATTTTGGATTAAGATATGGTGGAATACTCAAAATATTTTTAAGAAAAAGATAAAGTTTAAGCCGCAGATATTTTTGTTGGGTATTATGGAAGACTTGGATGCAAAAGAAATGGAACTGATGCTGAATTTTATAACTGCTGCAAGACTATTAGTAGCTCAATATTGGAAAACGGAACGTTTACCTACTATAGAAGAATGGTCACTTAAAGTCTCGAATTTAGTAGAAATGGCCAAGATTTCCGCTTATGTGAAGGATCAATCGCAAGAAAGATATATTTTAGTTTGGAGAAGATGGATAGATTATATTGAGCGTAAATATGGGACTAAAAAATATCATTTGGTTTTTGAGTAAATTTTAGAGTATTATGGTTGTATAAAGGTTAGAATATTTTATTTAGTATTATTTTTAATTATTAAAGTGTTATTATTATTGTTTTTAATAATTGTACTGTTTAAAAGAGAGTTAAAGGAGGTTGTAGATATGTTATTTTAATAGTTGATTAATGTTAATTAGAGTATGATTATGTTATTGTTAACCCTGTGATTGGCACTGGGAAGTGAGGGGGGAGGGAGGGGGGTGGAAGGGTGGGAAGGGGAAGGGGGGGATTTATATTGTAAAATTTTATAAAAATTTTAATAAAAAAAATAAAATCCTTGTGAACCTTGAGCCTATCTTCTAAAATGTTGGCTATCCCCCCCCAGCTTGCTATTGTCCCCTTCACCTAAATCAAGGGTGTCAAACTTGCAACACCACATGACGTGTTGCGACGTATCACGACTTTTTTCCCATTGCTGGCAATGGGATGGGCGCGGTTTTGCTATGATGCATCTGGCCCGCAGGCTGGCAGTTTGACACCCCTGACCTAAATCATGTATGAAGATATTGAAGAGTACTGGGCCCAAGGCAGAGCCTTTGGGGTACCCCTACTGCATGTACCCCTCCATGTAGATGCAATTCACCTTTTGCCACCTTCAATGAAGTCAATGAGAAAGCCAGATTCACTTTACTAATGTGTTACTAAGTTAACAGCTGCAGTGATTCATCAGTTTGACAACTGTGGCAAGAAACATAAAATGGGATAAGACTCACTTAACAACTCTCTTGCTTAGCAAGAGTTTTCTCTTCCTTATCTGTCACCTGCTGGGAAAGAAGAATTTTGTATTTTTTTCTGGAGGAACCGTAAGATTTTGATTGCTGCCTTGCTTTGCTTTCCATTTTAATGCTGCTTGTGATTCTCAGTTCTGTACTGCAGGGCTTTTCAACCAGTGGTACGGGTACCACCTGTGGTACATTGGGACCTGGCAGGTGGTACGCGACCATCCTAGAAAGGTGGTAGCGGGGGAGGGGAATGAGCTGAACCAGTGGCAGCACCGCACAAGTCTGAGTGAGAGATGGCTGGAGCTGCAGGGCTGTCAGGGCTCAGCAGAAGCACCAGGATCAGCACCAGGCTCCAGCTGGAGCTCAGCACTGATCCTGGTGCTTCTGCTTGAGCCCTGAAGAAGCATCGATCAACTGGAAAGCAGCACTGATCCTGGTGCTTCTGCTGAGCCCAGAAGAAGCGCCGATCAGCTGGAATGTTGCAGCATCTCCAGGGTCTTGTGATTTTACATTCAGATGCTTGGCAACTGATTCACATTTATGACGGTCACAGTGTCCCAGGGTCATGTGAAGTGACCAAAACCTGCTGCAAGCACCCAGCAGACGGGGGGAATAAAAACCAAATACCCCCCCACCCCACCACCGCTGCCAATCCTCAACAGAAATGCTCACAACAATGAAAATCTCGGACAGGAGGAAGAGTGCGGCCGGGCAGGCAGGCAGTTGTCTTGCTCGGCTGTGGCTTGGCGGGCACTTTTTTCAGTGCCATTGTAACTTCGAACAGTCACTAAGCGAACTGTTGTAAGTCGAGGACTACCTGTACTTTATCCCTTTTTTCCTTTTTTTCCTTTTTTTTTTTTTTTGGGGTCATCAAGTTTTTGACACCTTGCTAGGCAACTGGTGGTGCTCGGATGTTGCCATATCCTAAAAGTGGTACAATGGGTGAAAAGGTTGAAAAGCCCTGCTCTACAGTGCTCTCTTTGGCCTTTTTTTGATTCACATAAAAGGATTAGTTTAATTATGGTTTATGAAATGGCTGCACAACATTTGCAAAAATGAGAAAAAAAGCATACATTGCAATAAAAAAAATACACACCCCAAAATGTTAACTTAACCTCTTACATTAATTATCATTCATTTTTAACATACAAGTCTCATGAGATCCAAGTTCCAAATATTCAATCATGAAATTTACTTGTTGACTTACGTCAATCAGAAATTCATAAAAAGGGTCATCAAGATAAATACCCAGATGTGCTGGGGACAGATTATACATATTCATAGATATGTGGGTGCACTCACGCTTTTTGATTTAATTTTGGAGAGCCGGGTGAGGCTTCATTGATGAAA